ATTGATATATATTAGAAATTTTTTATATATTTTATTAATCCGTTTGTTTTAGGTGCGCTGAGGAGAAGTTCGTTGGATCCAACTGCACGAAGATTGTCTCTTGGAGCACCTGCGATACCTCACAGAGCGTCCGATGCTTGCCTGGATCCGGTTCACGCTGCCATACTCTTCAGAGATGCTCGAGGGGTAAGTTGATTGTCATTATCAAATATAAAACAATTGTCTTTACTATTTTGTAACTTTTTTAAATAATAATTTGATATCTCGCGCTAAATATCGCTTGTATATTTAAGAGTGCATTAATTTTTTAAAGCAATTAATTTTTTTATATGTTTCAACAATCGTGTACAGATATATTATGGATAAAAAGAATTTTCATCCTTTTTTGGAATAATTGTGCATAAGAAAGAAAAATGCTACCGTATGTTTTATTCGGTGCGCATATTTAAAATATAAACGAATAAAAACAATATATCTTGATTGAAATTTTTTTAGCAATATTTTTTTCGCGTGTGGAATTATTTCAACAAATGAGACATACAAATACTTTTTTATCCATAGACATAGTATATCTAGACCGAGTGTTGAGGAGTGAGGGCCGATGCCCACGTAGAAAAGGACATACTCCTTAAATAAAGGCAAACGCTCGGTCTAGATATACTATGTCTATGTTTTTATCTATATAAAAAAATACTGCTGGCTTTATAACGATTGATTGAAATATAATCATATGTCGAAAATGCAATCTCTCTCTCTCTCTCTTGCACGCGCGCGGAAATTGAGGGATATAATGTACATTTTTTCGTGATAAAGCGGAAACGTTTAATGAATAAATCGTAGCATATCGATTCCATGAAGGACTATTGTGAATCTAGGTCATGAGAAAAGTTTACCGACGAAAGAAGGTCGAGAATATATATATATGTATATAGTCTTTTTATCGTATTAATATCCAAAGAATATTAAATCAAATATTTAATGGATATTTATCGCTTGTCTTTGTTGGATTATACATTGTATATTTGCGAAATATGACGATAAAAGTTACAATATTGTAAATAAGTTTAGGCATCATTGTGACTAAAATCCAAGACTTAAACGTCGATAAAGAACTTTCCTTGTAACGATATACTAGAGTACTATTTTACCACGCGTCGATAATTTATCTTTGAGGCGCAAAATTTTCTATGAAGTAAAATCAACTCTGTATGCTCGACTAGTTTGCATTTTAAGCGTGACTAAGGGCCAATTTCACCAAGTCCGGTTAGATTAACCGACGGTTAAAATTAGCAGGGTTCCAACTGAAATTATATGAATGCTTGGTTTTCCTTCACCTCTATTTTCTGTTGGCCACCCTGCTAATTTTAACCGTCGGTTAGTCTAACCGGACTTGATGAAATTGGCCCTAAATGGTTTTGTCTGTATGATCTGAAACGTGCAGACATAATTGGCATTTTGTTCTCTTTCTATTTTTCAGAAAATGATATCCATTAGGAGATAATAATGTGTATCGAGAAATAATTTTAGTCATATATATACATATATAGAAAATGATGTATGCATTGCACGTGAGTGCACAACGAGTTTTATCTTTTTAACATGTTTATTTTTCCTTACAATTAGTTTGTCTCTGAATTTTATTTTATTTCTTATTGTTAGATAAGATATTACTTTGCCATCATTTAAGTCCAAGTTTGTTCTCTGCGTTTACTTTACCGTTCTGTTATACGCGCCAAGTACATATTTAAACGCTTATCGATGTTGTTATCGTATGCAATGGTTGACTCGACAGATACTACGTGCGAATGCCATTATCTGAACGTACGAGAACATAACATACGAGGAAATGATATTATTCGAGATAGTTTCTTGTCTCTTTTTTTTTTCTATAAAGAGTACTCTTAAATAAACGGATAATCGTTAATTGGATCGAATTAATGATTTGGAATAATGAAGATGCGGCGTACGCGAAATAAGGCGTCACGAGCGGCGCATGTAAAACGATGCGCCGTAAATTTCATACACAACGTGTCGCAAGCTCGACGAGAGCCGAGAGTCGAGAGTCCAGAGCCCAGAGCCCAGAGCGCAGAGCCCAGTCGCAGTCGCATCGGGCGCCAGTCTGAACGGGATACGGGATGATCCAGTTGAACACGAGCGATCGAGCTGGTGTTGACGACGAAGCGAGAAAACTGATGATTGTAGTTAATCGTGTCGTTCCTTTCGTACCTCTCGTTCGCGATGAGTTTTCTTTTTTTCTTTCTTTTCTCGACTCTGGTAATCTCAAGATCGACCACCGGCATCGAATCGGCTTGTGTGCTCGATCGTTATCGAATAATATCGACATAACATCCTAAATAGGTGCCGGCATCACCATGCGAGTTTTCGTTCGATGAAATTTTCAAGAGCGCGTTCTTATGAGAAGGATGACGAGTGAGTGCGATGAAATCGATCACGTAGTCAGTTTTTGAGAAATTTGCGCGTTTCGCGCGAGGCGGTGACGGTCGGCGTCGATAGCGCTTCGTTATTAACACGTTCCCTTTAATCGCGACAGGATTAATTAATCGTCATCTCCTTGTACGAGTGAATGATTATCTCGGACATTTGACTGATTTTCACCAACGTTTACCTTTTATGCATGTCTTTTTCGCGTAGATAAGCTAAACGATAAGAGTTAACGGTCGCCGGAGTCAGTATTCGCGTTAGAGATCAAAAGTGATAAAAACATGCCATTTATTATTTTTCACCTATAGAGTAATAATAATAATAATAAAAGAATGGCAGGCGAAATTTAATTTTGAATCGCATCTTGTGACCACCAATGCTTCAATTACTAATGAGCAACAATACAAACAAACACTTGTTGCTAAAGAAACATGCGCGTGTCGTTATCGCGCGCAGAGCGCAGCGATACCGCACAAGCAACGGATCCTTTTACTCTTGGCCCTGACCTTAACATCTTCACTTACTTTTAAAGTCAATCAAGTTTGGCAATACGAACGAGATATTGAATAATCGCGATACGCAACTTTGATAACTAGCATCTTATTTTCCAAGATGATTGATTTTTCACTTCGATGACTCGACTCGAGAGAGTGGGAAAAACAGGTTTTCCATTTCATTCGCGGAGCACGAAACTTTTATTACGTCATAATTATAAAGTGTGCGATGTGATGATAAAGTGCAACTTTAATTTACGTATATATAAAGAGCGTAAAGATATAATAAAGAATATACTTGAATACTCTTAAACTTGCTAAAGTTTCGTATGCCGAATGCCAATGTCGAAACTGTTTGTAAACAATTGCGATTTGGAATTATATTTAGATGCCCATTACCCGCGACTTGATCGACGAGTCGCAAATATTGGCTCCGATTCGGGCTAAATTCCACACGCGAATCTAACTACGCGGTATGCCTGCTCTCCTTCCCGTGTTTATTTCTAGATTTTAAATATCGAGTTTTCTCTGCGTTTCACTGCAAAAATATTTAAAAAAGAAAGTACATGCATATAACGTCGATATTATCTCTTTGCGCGTACGTGTCATGCATGTGTATGCTTTAAACAAATGTATTTTAGTTTACATTTAAGTTGTAATCTTTATTGACTCGGTTGTGCGCGAGTTTAGCGAGTACCTATTAGAAATCAACTTACAATGGACAAGTCTCGATAAACTGATAGATACATGAAATTGTTAACAACTACAATAGATTACAATGTTTTTCTTGGCGAGTGCGAGGTCGGTGCAATGACGGAATTTTCGCGTGGGCGTTTCATTTAAATCTCCAGACTTCTTTAAGATTCTACGCGTCGTATTTTTAAACTGATTCCACTTTATGGACAGTTCTATGGACAGTTGGTCCGTAGATTTCTCGCTTATTTTTCAATTCGCTTTTTCTTCTCGCGACGCTTCATCAACAAGTTGTCGCCTCGGATGTCGCGTGTTCCTCACCGTCGTCACCGCCCATGACGCACGAGTGCTTTTTTATCTTACACATATATAGCAGCCTTGCGAATGCGTTTGTATCGAAACTTTGTCCATGCCTACGTGTTATTGCAAAAATCCATTATACGCCATATAACATGATAAGGAGTTACATCGTGTATAATGCTCGCTAACCATTTCTGTGTACGTTTTCTCGATAAAGCGAAATCATACTGCTAAATGATAAATTAATCTCGATAAGTTAAGTAACCGATAAAAAAAAAAGAACGTGGCCACTGCGTTCAATGGCTAAGAAGTCACTCTCGGCTGAATTTCCGCCAGAAACTGTGTCTCCGTCGTACAGTATTTTTAGATTCGACTAGACACGAGGCGTGTGTGCAAAACCGATTTCGCGCGATATCGCTTTCGTTTTACAATCTTTTCCTTTTCTTTTTCCATCTCTCTACGAATAAATTTGTTGCTTTTAATCAAGTATCTCAAATTATTGACGATATAATAAATATATTGCGAAAGATGCTTGGCGCTGCTCTCCTTTATCGCATGTTCGTTTATTATACTTGTTACACGTATCGTTCTATCTATCGTTTTACTATTCTTGGCGCGGATCGAATGAGCCAATCGTGTAAGTTGGAAAAAAGATGACCATAAAGGGGAAAGGAAGAAGAAGCATTTTCCAAACCAATGAACCAATAAAAAACGACAGTATATCGGTTTTTCCCCCTTTTTTTAAGTATAAGAAAGAGATTTTCAAAGTTTAATCATTCTGAATTTGTTCGTAATTATATATATATATGTATATATAATCGGATACAATGACTGTAATTTAAAACATAGTTATTAACGGTCTTAACAAATACGTTAGCTCATCGTTACAAATTTCTTCATTATCTTAACACTACGCGTAAATTAATCTTTTTTAAATAAATTTTGGCTCAGCGATCAATTTTTTGCAGAAAAGTAGGAGAGCACATATATACAAATTTTGAAGGAAATAAATTTATAAATGACGAAAATATTTAGTTGTACTATTCGATAATTGAATTTCAAAAATAGTTTTCGCATATTTAATTGCAAAAATAATGCGCAACTGTTTGACTGTTTATTGACGGTTTTCCTCTATATCAATTTCTTGGTAAACTGCAACGCATCTACAACTGAGAGAGTGTTATGCCACTGTCGAAAATATCTCGGATAATTCGCTCCTGTACTATTTCACGAGTATCGAAGGTGTTAAGCGACGTGTTAACGTTATACGTACATTCGCTCACTAGGACAATGTAATCATCGTCGCGAAGACGAGAAATCTAGCTTTAAACTGCGGTGAATCGAACTGCTTTGGTCATCGCTGTCAATTCCAAAACAAAAGATGACATTGCGACGACGAACAACAATGAAGATACCTAATGAGACTGCTCGATAAAAAGGGCTAACTTTTGACGCGTTGATAAACTTTTATCGAACGCGCAATTTCTTTTTAAAATCCTTAAAGAGTGGACGAGGCGTTCCGTTCTAATAATCTCGCGTTGTCAGTTTTAATTGATACGAGATGTTATTTCGACGTCAAACAAGCGAACCGACCGCAAGTATCGCTAGGAGCTCGGATGTGGCGCAGACTACGAGTTCCGGAGTTCTGACAAACTGGTACACAAAAATCAAGAGACGACATACCTTCAACCCAAGGTCCTTGCTGAAACGGACTCTGGTATATTTTCTTGCAGACAATCTGTGATGTGTGTAACACATCATCTTCCATAAAAATATTACGCGAGAAAGTGGAAAGTGAAATGTGTTAACAAAATGATGCGTCTCTCGCGACAATAAAAATTTTAAAAATATGATAAAAATATGCGATTTGTTTCATATATTCTGCTCGAAACTATTGAAAAAAGGCACTGTTTGTTCAAGAACACAAATGTCACGATGAGCATTTGTAATGGCAATAGTAGTTTTAGGATTTTAAGATGTCTTTTTTCTGCTAGGAAATTATTATCGCACGTAGTAAGAAGTAATTAATTATAAAACGATTGAAACGAAATGTTACAATTTTTTTTTTTTTTATTTACAGCTGCCAGTGGTGGATCCCTTCCTGGAAAAGGTCTCATTGTCCGATCTTGGTAAGTTTTGTTTATATGCGACAATTATTTTCTCGGGTCTTAATTTTTATGTAATAAAAAATGATCGGATATCACTCCTGCCGCAGAGGGGATTACAAAGATTTTTTTGTGTGTAAAGGATAATTTGTAAAACGCGCGTGGTTTAATCGAGAGCTAAACATTTTAAAACTAAAAAAATCTTATTTGCATAATTAAACTCGAATGTTTATAATAAATGCGAAAGCAATAAATTGCAAATTCTTAAAGCATAAAGTATAGAATCTCACGCATGCGCCAAAAAATCGGGTTAAGTTGATTATATCGATTTTGGAGAAGAGATATATCTCTCTCTCTCTCTCTCTCGATATTAAATATTAAATAAATGGATGATGCAATGTGTATGTGTTAGAGGAAAAGTCTCTCTTTATTAAAAGAATGGATTTCGTATCAAATGTTCGACGTTATTAGAAATGAAAAAATTTGAACAATTAATTAATTAATTAGACAAAAAATCTTGAACAAATTAATTTCACGATGCAAGGAAACGGTTGAAAATCTTTGAGGCTTCACTCGTTATTTTTTCTCCATTTCTTTTCTTTAATTAATTAATTAAGAAAATTAAAAATTTTAAGAGACGCAAAAACTTGATATATGATATATATATATATATATTAAGCTACCAATACATGTACTTTAAACTTTAACGAAGCGTATCAATCCTCTAGCATTTATATTTTTTTTTTTTTTCATGTAATATTATTCTAGTGTCAACTTAATTTAGACTAATTTTTTCAAATAATAATAGCGTCTGCACTTTAACGAAACGAGGATACGGATTGTGTTTGAACAAGAACGGTACAACAGTTTTTTGCACGCGTTTTGCAAGCTCGCAACATAGCTCTCCCCTTGAAATTGTGGTACTAGGTCTTCCGACGTATCCTGGTGTACCGTCGCGATCGATGAGTTCCCGGGAGGCCAGCTGGCGTTAAAGGGCGAGAGGGAGGAGGGATTCGCGATACAGCTTCACTTCATCGTACAGTACACTCGCACTCTACATTGCACACTCACATCTGCAGTTTCTATCTAGGTCTAGGTCACGTGAAGGAGGGGTGGGAGGAGGGGCGGCATATAACTAACAATAAGTTGTTACGTGACGGAATTTACGTTGATCTCTTCAACTTTTCAAAATTATTGTTTATAGTTTTTAATTCGTTTAATTTTAATCTTATTGTTAGTAAACTGAATAAGAATCTTTCTTGACTCCATTAATGATGGTATTTTGAAATCTCACGTTTAATAAACACACGTGTGCACGTGTAGGTTTCACAAAGGGTGACGAAGAAATAAGATTAATTAGTCTATAGTCTACTATCTCTGTGTGGGCGTTTCTTTCTCCACCGTGGTGTTTGATTATTAAAAACAAACATTCCGACAAAAGGAAGTAGCGCGGAACTTGCTGCGCGTGCGCTTCCTTCTTTTCGTTTTGGCAAGACGCACCAGTCATCTCGGCTTCGGTTATTCTTGGCACGATGGTTTGACGATGACGATAAAGAAACGGAAACGAGCGAAAGAGAACGAGATAGAGATAGATGAAGGTGTAAAATTCGAAGCGACTAGACAGTCATTGCGTTCGCTGGCGACGAAGCTGACGCTTCTCAAAAGATATCGTAGAGAACAACAGAAAGGATCAAGATTCAACGCCATAAATCATAAGAAGGATATTCTAGTGATGGGAGGATTTTTGAGACGATGAGAAATTGCAAAAAGTCAACTGTTGTTGTTGTTGTTGTTGTTTGGTAAATTGAAAAAAAGAAAACTCGGCTTTTTCGGCTGACATCAGTGTTGTACTAATGCAAGACGTGGCGTGGCTGTCACATAAAGCGTAATGAGTATACTCATTTTTTTTTTTTCCGGATAAAGGGCATTCATATTAAAAAAATATTCAGAGTTTTCAGACGGGAACAATTACGAATATTCGAGACAATTTGTTAATCGTGAGATGCTTCAACTTTGTAATCTCGACAATGTCAAATAATGCTGACCTTACACTACTACTCAAATTCCGAAAGTGTTCGCGCCGCTTTAAGGCAGGTCACGGCTGCCTGGTGGAGTCAGGACGACGATCCCGTGTACTCGAAAGATCTCATCAAGGAATTTGAATTGGAGAACCCACCTCTCGAGGACGAGCTTGCTTGGATCCTCTCCAAAGGTATCGGGCGCGATCATTACGCGATTACCAAGTTGTAAAGAATATCGAGGAAGAATAAATCTTACGCTTCGGAGGTTTATATTATATATCATGAAATTTTATATTACGCTTTTATTCTGCCAATGTTAATCGTCTAGTCAACATCGATGTAGAGATTCCGCACACGTTATCAAAATGTATTAATGTACGAGTTCCTGGACAATATAAAATGACACAACGAACAAAACAGTGTCAGAAGTTTCGTATTTTTATTTTTATACATATATGAATATATTGATTTTATTACAATATAATTTGATTGATTCTAGGTATACATAATTCTCAACTAAATTTGCTTGCAAATTTATACAAATGTATACATAATTCTCAATTAAAATCTCATTTGTGGAAAGCAAAATGAGTAATATGGTTTTTCACGGAATAAATTATGAACGGCAATACAATTTTTCCACGCTATTATACATATATCTGTACGCATTACGACAATGTACGACAATGTAATGACTGCGGTTAATGTGCATTCCCTTCAATCCGGATGCATTTCATGTCACGTTTATACATATATACGTGCACCGACACGTGCGTGCATTACGTTGCGATTGTCTCGATGTATCATTACCTCGCTCAGTTCGTTTGCCCAGCTCCATTCGTTTCCGATTCCGCCACGATTCTCTTTCGTCTAATCAGTCGTGCCATGTATAATCGTGTTCTGTAATATATACATATCTAACAGATCTCGGATCGCAACGAGACTCTAACATTGGTGCTTTGAAAGTCGGCGAAAGTTGCTGAACGCGTTTAGCAACGTTTCCCAAAAGTTCGCATCGTATAATTGTGAAATTGGTTGTGTGTTGGTGTTTTACTTTTTAGTGATTTACTAATTTTCATTTCTTAACGCATCTTTTCTCTCTGATCGTGTGCATACACAAAAAATTAGTGGCCGGGTTACCTTTACATAATTTAATAGTTGTTTATATTATATAAAAATCTGAGAGAATATATATTTATTTTATATACATATGTACATTTATTTTATATACATTTTACATATAATTGAATTTTTGAAACTTGTGTATATTCTTGACATATTTTCCTTCTTTTATAATATTACATATGTGTAACTGTAACTAATATGTATATATATGTGTATGTAAATGTTCCATCGCCTCTTCCTTGTAGTATTATTCATTGTTTCTAACGAAACTATGTTATGGCAACATAACTTTTATCCGTTTTATGTAAATATCGCAATTCTTTATTTATCATGTATATTTTAAAATATCTAGCCTGCTATTTCGACATTTTATGAATTACCATCCTTCTTGTACGTATAATCGAGCTTCCGAAATGTTTAATCGCAATTTATCGATCATTCAATCGAGTTTCATTACTGATCGTGTAATATCGTTAGACCGTAAGAGCCTTAAATTGGGTCATTGATATTGCCGTTATTATTATCAAACGAAAGATGCATATTAATGTATTTTCAACATTGATATTTAATTATATTTCAATTGTGGATATTATCTGACTGACAAAAGCGATTTTGTGCTGGCAATGAGTGTAGGATGGACTCGTTCAACTTTATAAAATATTGTAGAATAATAAAAACGAGATGACTTTTCTCAAATGCTCAAATGTTTACTCGCAAAATTATAATGTAAAATCCTAATTTATCAGTGATGGACAATCTGCGCGCATTATATTATAATTAATTAAACACTAGGCAGAGACAAATAATGCATACACAAGAGATAATAAGCATACAAGCTGCGTGCGTTCGATACAAGTTTATACAAGTATAAATCTTAAGATATATCACACTGTATGAGACTTTTGCGCGTCTCGAAAATGCTTCGTCGAAATCGAAAGGCTCTTCTCTACTGTCAACTATTTGGGGTTTCAGAGGAGGACGAGTCGCAGATTTTTGTTAAATTCTTCAAGTTTCACAAATGTTACGACCTAATACCGACCAGCGCCAAACTAGTCGTCTTCGACACTCATCTACTCGTTAAAAAGGCCTTCTTTGCTCTCGTCTATAATGGTGAGTTTGCGTTTGTTCGCTTCGCACAAGAGAAATTTAATAGCTTTATTATGAGAAAGTAGTGTTCTCAATAATAATCCCGAAATATTTTCAGGAGTGAGAGCCGCACCGTTATGGGATAGTTCTCGACAACAGTTTATCGGCATGTTAACTATAACGGATTTCATAAAAATACTCCAGATGTATTACACCAGTCCGTCGGTGACAATGGACGAGTTAGAAGAACATGAATTGGATACATGGAGAAGTAAGATTTTTTTCGCGAGACATTGTCGATATTGTTTCAAATTATAAGAAAATTAATCTATTCTATTAAATTAATTATTCTTGTTTTAAAACATTTTGTCGGGAGAGCTCATCTTTGCCGAAAAATTATACAAAATTTGGAAAACTTTGTTGATTTCAGAAGTTCTAAAGGATCAAGTTAATCCTCTCGTAAGCATCGGGCCAGATGCGTCGCTGTACGAGGCTATCAGGACCTTGATACAAAACAGAATCCACCGATTGCCTGTGATAGATCTCGATACCGGAAATGTTCTTTACATCTTGACACATAAACGAATACTTAGATTCCTTTTCCTATATGTAAGTATGCGTATTCCGTGAATAAATGCCGAATAAATGTCCATCTATTGTAATCTCAAACCTGTGAATTACAGATCCATGAGTTACCAAAACCATCTTTCACCAATAAAACGTTGAGGGAGTTGAGGATAGGCACTTTCGAGAATATAGAAACAGCTACGGAAGAAACTAGCATAATTTTAGCCTTGAAAAAATTTGTAGAAAGGAGAGTTTCGGCATTACCAATTGTCGATCCTGAGGGAAAATTGGTCAACATTTATTCAAAGTTTGATGTTATTGTAAGTCGGTTTTTTTTTTTTTTTTTTTTTTTTTTTTTTTTTTTTTTTAATCTCAAATCTATAAGAGATTGTAATGTAGAGACAGGTACATCGAGATGTTTATATAATATATTACTTTTTCACAGAACTTGGCTGCAGAAAAGACGTACAATAATTTAGACGTTTCACTACGCGAAGCAAACGAACATCGCAATGAATGGTTTGAAGGTGTCCAAAGTTGCAAATTAGACGAGACATTGTTCACTATAATGGAAAGAATTGTCAGAGCGGAAGTAAGGAAGCATTCTTTTAAATTGAGCATAATTGTTCTTGATCTATTAATGCTAAAATTATTAAAAGATTAAATAAGACTTACATTTTTCTGTTTTGTGTTCTTTTTAGGTTCATAGATTAGTAGTTATCGACGATGACGATAAAGTTATTGGTATAATATCTCTCTCTGATCTGCTCTTCTACCTCGTTCTTAGGCCTTGCGGTATGTCTTTCTTTAACATTTTTCGCAAGTATTGCAATAAATATTTATAATAATCACATGTTCCGTTTACACACAATAAATATTTAAGGTACATCATATTAAGCAGCATTTGTTTTCTAACTTTTTATGCCGCAACTTGTATATATACTTTTTTTTTCTTTCTTTCTTTCTTTTTTTTTTTCCTTTAACGGTATAACATTACTTTTACAGTTAAAATTGAGCGTTTTAGTTTTGATTTAGAGTAAATTATAGCACATGTTTTAATCTCCGCAGTAAAATTGGACACATCTTGTTTTTGACAGACTCTCGTATTGTATTAATATCTCCATTTTTGTTGGTTTTAGGTGAGGATGCCAGTAGCAATAAAGATTGTTCTATCTCTTTGCGAGCGCATGATTCTCTCTTGTCGAAGGCTCCCAGCTCCGAGCAGTCGGAAATATCGCTTCCAGACGGCGATGTCGAACAGCAGGATGCCGCCGAGACGATGGATCGTAATCGGTCCGAAGAAACACCCGCAACACCTAGTCCACCGCTCAGTCCGGTTACATCGGATCTCTCGGAACCTCAATCGACATTAGTGAATCAAAGTCAAGATGCAGCGTGGCGGGACGTGATAAATATATGTGTCTCGGGTGTCTCAGGTGGAGAATGAGTTGTTGCCCTTTTCACGTGCCGCCACGCATGATTAATTTCTGAACTGAAAATTGCCGTTGCTTTAATCGCAGCAACGGCGGACTGTAATAAGGACTGCATATTTGTACATCCTTTGTTGTTATCGCTCATGCTCTTTGCGAGTATACGGGTAAAGTTGATTAACTACTCGCGCTAGAAAGAAAAGGAAAGGGGGAGAGGGGAGGATGTATCTATGTGAAAGATAAGACATACCTGTTTAAGGAATTTAAGACGTGGGGCAATAGATGCGATGAAGAAATTCACCAGGCGCGCAATGTATGATGTAACAAACACGCGATACTCTGTATAATGTATAAAATCACTTAAGCTTAATTTTTTATGGTACAAATGCTATACAGATATGCTACACATTAGACGTTCCAGCTCTTTGCCACTTTGGACGATAGGTAGCTGCGCCATTATTTGCTCAGAATATGATTCTCTGCGCCCTTCAATGATCGAGAACTTGGAAGAACGATGAATTTCGAGAGGACGAGTTTTGGAAGAACGAAAAATCTTGGATATCCCAGTATCTCAATCTAATCATGTTTATGTTCTTTATATTACAAAATATGTGTTTAATTCATCCTTTGAAAAATGTAAAATGATATTTTGTAGATATTCTTTTCGATTTTACATAATTAGGATATGTCAAGATTAAAAATAAACAAATTCTGTGGAAGATATTCTCTTTATGAAAGATGAATTTGTTTGTTATATATTGCGAAACTTTTCATATTTTTTTGACCATAATATATATCCCGAATCTAATTATAAATTTAAGTTGCTTCTTTTGTTAATTTTTTTTAAATTTATCTTGAAAATATGCTATCAAATATCTAATCTTTAATTACTGATCTTGTATAATAAATGAATCATCTTAACAGCACTGGTGACTTATTAAGAAACGTATAATCTATAATGGATAAATGCTTTTATTCATCAATGGTATGTATGGCATTAAAGTTTTATTGCCATGTTAAATTTTCTTTCTTTGTGAACAATGAGTAAAACCCTGCGTTATTATATAAATAATTATTATTGCGTCATATTTCGTGAAGGAAATGCAAATTATGAGTTTTTTTTTAGCTGGAATGTATAGTTACAATATCGTTTTATATGAAAAAGTTTTACAATAGATTGGAAGAAGTATTCTTACAGTGGAAGACGAGTACTATCCAGAAAAATTTTATCTCTAACTATGCAAAAACTTTTTTTCGCCTCATAAAATGTAAATTTGTAAAAATTTTATACCGTTTGATGCCAATCTTTATTTTCATATTCATGCTAATGTTATAGGGAGAGTTACTCGATTTTGAAGGATGGCTATTCGACTTTGAAGGGGGATAGTGCCTGTAAATGTAGTAAATGTATATATAAAAGAGAGACATGGAATACAAATATAAATATTCTATTCGAGTTGTAAGCGCAGTCGCGAAATACGACAAGTTAAATATTAGTATTAATTAACAGGAAGCGTAGTTTGAACAAAGATTTTTGTACAGCTGAGAAGTACTATTTAATGTGCTGTAGTCGCGAGCGTTGTTTTATTTATTCATTTTGTTTTTTTAGCACAAAATGCGTTTGTTGCAACATCTTGCGAGTTGCCACATTTACCATCTTTTACTTAAAGTTACTAAAGATTATGCTATACCGCAGCGTACACTGCAACCTTGGCTTTGACACAACTTGTTACTTGTTGAGGGCATAGTAGAAATAGTCGGAGAAAATATTTAGCGCTTCTCTTCATTCTATATAATATTAGAGAGACGAGTTTAAAGAAATAAGCGATTGAACTCGGTACACGCTGCGACTAAGAAGAACCAAAATAGAAGCTATCAATGAGATATTAATGATGATTAAATTGTACAATAAATAATCAACAAATAATGCTTTTATGCATTACACATAATTATAATTAAATTGACAGCATATTATTCCTGTTCCTTGTTCAATCCTTGTTTCTTGTTTAAAGTTCAAAACGCGAGACAACAGTCTTGCCAAATGACAAAATATATATACTATGAATGTTTTATTTAACGACTCTAAATTTCTTTCCTCTCTCAGATGCCAATGTCCGAATCCACTTCTTGATTTGCAAGATTTTAAATTCCAAATAATTTCATAATAATTCTAAATATATTAATGTTTTTTGTTGAAAAAAAGAAGAAAACTATACGTACGCAAAAGTGATGCATTCTAAAATAAATTATGTATAATTTGTGATTCAAGTATAGAGTATAAAAAACATGAAATTTATAGGATGTGTGAGGGCGAATTTATATATACATACATACATACACACACACACACACACACACTTATAAAGGATTAAAATTTTTTATTCCTATAAAATTATAAATATTGACAAATATTCTTTGCAGAGTTATGCTCAGTTCTTGTTTCTATAGAGAAATCCGATCTCATTACCAAACACGTTAATCTCGATGTTAAGTAAATCTGTAATACAAGATAAAATACGGATTAGAAGTTTTTGTAATGTTTTAAATATTATCATATTTTGGAAAAAAATAAGAGAATTACTTTTTTTAAAATTTCTTTTGTATCGATATGATGTATTCGCAAATATCTATCGAGACTAACGCTTGCAACATATGGACTATTCATGTTGCATGCCATCCCGGTTACACCTCCGGCAAATCCTTTGTATGTGTTCAATACAGTGCTTGGTTTTCTTAGATCAACGAGATTCATTCTACCTTTACCCGAACCCACTATAATATGTCTATAAAATACACATCAATTGACATATTCGTGGAAAAAAAATGGAAATTTATAGACACACAGACAACTTACTTCTCTTTGAGCGTCG